ATGTTGAGTTTAAGGACATCCAGTTCAAGTACAGGACATCTAGTAGGCAGTTGGAGATGCTAGACTAGAAGTCAGCAGAGAAGATAGGGCTATATAAGTAGACTTGAGAATCATCAGGATGGAGCTGATACCTGAATCTATGGGAACTAAGGATCATCAAGTGGAATAATATAGAAGAAGAAGAGAAGAGGGCCCAGGACAAATCCTTGTGGTTAAGGAGCATGACTTGAATGAAGATCTAGCAAATGAGACAAAGAGTTGAGTTTATAACATAAATTTGTAGTGGAACTAGTCAGCTCTGTGATTTTCTCCAACTCTGGCAGTTTTGTTCACCCTGCCTCCCATATATGTATAGCAGATATCGGAAATGAACCAAGCTTGGCAGGAGTTGGGGAATATGATAAGGGAACAAAGGACTCAAGAGAACGGTGTAGAGCTGAACTGGTTCAAGAAAAGGTCAAGATGGAAAAAAGGAGAGTGTGGCCAGTACAGGGATGATGGCCTGGGAGAGAACTGAGGGAACAAGGAATTGGAAGTCAAGGTTTGGACAAAGAATAGGATTTGGGATTAAAAGTCAGAGGAAAAGGTAGAATAACAATGGCCGGTGATCAGGTAAGTAAATTTTGGGATTCATGAACATGGATACGGTGCATTTGTAGGTGATGGCAAAATCAAAAGTATGACCATTTTTATATGTGGCTTAGGTAGAGGGGAGGAGTAAGTTATGGGAAACATGCACATTAAAAAAATGTGAGTGTAGCTAAAGTACTAGAAGGAGTTAAGAGTCAGGGAGTCCATAAACATTTATTAAGTGCCTACTATGTTCCAGGCACTGTGCTAAGCTCTGGGAATAAGAAAAAAGGCACAAGACTGTCCCTGCCTTCAAAGAGCTCACAATCTAAGGGGGGAGGGGAAGAGAGAGACAATATAAAAAAACACAAAGCTGAAAAGGGAAGGGGCATGACAAGGTCCTGGGGCTGGAGGTGAGAAATGATCTGAGGATGTATGAATTAGGGTCTATTTCATCATATTTGATAGAATGGCCTTTCTTCTCTACCCCAGAAATGAATCTAATGCCTGACATAACAATATTTCTTCTCTTTCTGAGGGAGACTGAACACCAGGCAGTTGATGCAGTGTGATAGAATAGTACCTTCTCCCCTCACCAAAAAGGCAAGAGACTAGCATCTCTTCTCCTCACTTTAAAGACAGGAGAAAAGGCCTTATATTTACCAAAATATTTATTGCATCTCTTTTTGTGATAGCAAAAAACTAGAAATGAAGTGGATGCTCATCAGTTGAGGAATGGCTGAACAAAATATGGTCTGCGAACATAATGGAATAATTATTATACAGCAAGAAACGAGAAAACAGACAATTTCAAAGGCTTGTATGAACTGATAGAGTTAAGAAGCACGAGATTACAATTTACACTCTAACATCACTATTATAAAAATAAACAACTTTGAAGATTTTTATAAACTGATGAATGAAATGAGCAGAACTGAGAGAACAATTACACAATAACAACAATGCTATAAAGAACAACTTTGAAAGCAGTAAGAACTATGATGGATACAATGACTATGACTCCTGAGGATTGATGACAAAGCACATTATTATCTACCTTCTCACAGAGGTGATGTAATTCAGAGAGCAGAATAAAACATATATTTTTTTTGATCATGGCCAATATTGGAATTTGTTTGCTTGACTATGCATGTTTATCACAGGGAATGTGTTTTTCTTTTTCCTTTTTTTCCAATGGGGTGGGGGATGAAAGAAAAAAAGATTCTGTTGATAAAACTTTAATAGGAGGTCTAGAGCTGAAAGGGACCTTAGAGATTATCTAGTCCAAACCTTTCACTTTCCAAATGAGGAAGTAGGGGACCAGAGAGGTTAAATGACCTGCCCAAGGTCATATAAGTTAAGTAAGTAGCAGAGGTGGGACACTATTACATGTGCTTCAAGGGCAGTCTCTATATCAAACTGCTTTTGTGTGACCTAGCATTTAGTACAGTGCTTGACACATAGTAGGGGCTTAATAAGTACTTTTTAATTCTTTTCATTGACATGATATTCATTCCACAGTATCTAATAAGGTAGTTATGCAATAACTACTATCAGCAATAACTCACTTATATTTCACTTTAATATTTACTAAGACACTTTCCTCACAACACTTATGTAAGTGCATCTATTGTTATCCCTAATTTACAGATGAGGAAGAAGAGAAGTTTTATCAGCTTATTTATGGTCCCAAAGCTAGTAAGCAGGACTGACTGAAACTCAGAATTCCTCTCCCTAAATCCTGTACTCTTAATCATATCAGGCCGCCTCCATCAAGTCCAGCGAATGTCTCCCCTCTTCATGAAGACTTCCATCATTTATGTGAACCACACTGATGTATTCTTTCTCTGATTCTTTGAACTCCTTCATGAATCTACAACTTGATTACAGAGTTTCACTGATAACTTTAAGTAGAAATACAATCTTCTAACTTGATTTACACATTTTTAAATGGGAGGGTTGCTCATATTTCTTTTTTTGACCTGATAATACCTAATTCATCATATAGTAAGGTGTTCAATAACTTTTAATTAAATCAACAAAAAGCATCACACATGAGTCTATATACATTTATTACATATGCACACTTGTATGCATACAGAAATAATAAAATGTTATGATATATTAAGTAACTCTCCTAAAGCCATCATTTCCTGGTTGGATAGGAGTTTGCACAGCAGAAAGGCAATCTGAAAAAATTAGGAGCTTGAAGTTGGCAGGAAATAGGTAGAATTGCAAAGAAGAACTATCAAAGGAAAAGGAAGGAGTTGTAGTTGTCATTCTTTTATACAAAAAAATAATTTTAATCTTTGTATTAAAATGAGAAGGTACAGAGAAAGTTTAAAGAACTGAACATCTGTGAGGCAGCTAGGTGGCACAGTTGGATAGAGCACCGGCCTTGGATTCAAGAGGACCTGAGCTCAAATCTGGCCTCAGACACGTAACACTTAACTAGCTGTGTGACCCTGGGCAAGTCACGGTAACTCCCACTGCCCAACCATAAAAAAAGGAAAAAAAAAAGAACTGAACATCTGTGCAGTTCAGACAGCTATATGGGTCAATGACAGAAAAAGCAGACCTAGGAGTCTAACATACCTGGAATCCTCTGTCCCTTGGATGACTGGATGTCCTGTGGATGACTGTTTTTGGACTAAAGAAACTGAGACGGGGGCAAAAAGATATAAGTGAAGAGGTCAAAGAATTAGTAGAGAAGGAATCAAAGGAGTTATGCTTATCTGAAGAGTTATAATATTTTGACTATTAAAATCAAATGTCAGAGAGCAGGGCAGTAAAAATGAAAGAAAAGGGAAGAGTGATATACCTCAAAAGTTGGTTAAATGGCAATTGCTGCCAATTATGAGTCTTACTTATATTACTGTTGTTGAAAAGGATATACCTAATAATTTCCCCTCATTATTTTTCATATATTAAAAGCTACAAGCTAAGAATATATCCAATGCAATGGATATTACATGGAAAGTCCAAATGTTAGAAGATGAAAATAGTCTCATTCGAAAAAAATTTTTATACTGTCTGCATTAGTTGTCTTTTTTGTACTTTTCACTTAATTTCTAAGTCAGAGGTTAGTATTCACATGTTTCTTAAACGAATTTTTTGTTTCCTTGAGAAGTGGTTAAAAATTAAAATACTGGTTAATAAAGACCGGCCGTTTCAACATGCATCTAATTTCACGATTATGCAATTTGGAAGGCAGGACTGCTTCTCTACTTGTTGACTTCTTGAAGTAAGTTTTAAGAGATCAAAACTGCTGAAAAGGAATTGCTAAAGCAGACAATTCTGATAAACCAGGAGGAAAGCGGTTGGGAGGGAATGGGGGAGAGAAACGAGTTGCTAATAGGAGGATATTAAAAAAAAAAAAGCTTAGTGGCGTCAGCCGTTCCTGTCCATTACTCTTGAAACAAACACTACACACTGGCACAAGACAAAAGAGGCAATGAAAATTTCTAGAAAGATTTTTAAGATCTTCTAGAATATAGTCAACTCCAAAGCCAACCAAATCCTCCAAATTACAATCCCACCCAAAATCCGATGATTTGTCGGTGGAAGAGAATTTCTTCTCGGAGGACTAGGTGGCTGCAGCCCGGAGCCAGCTCAGACGGGGAGAGGGCGCGCATTCTTTTCCTCGGGTGGGACACCACTAAGAGCCCGGGGCTGCCACACTCCAGCACTCCCTCGTCCCCGCCCGGCCCCACGCGGCTCCCAGAGCGGGGATAGCCCAGTGCGGAGGAATGTAAGTCCGCCTCGCCCAGGAAGGTGTTGGAGAAAGTGCTCTCTCTGGGTCGGGGTCACTCCCTTCCCCACGCCCTCAAAGCGGGGAGAGTGATCGGCAAGGAGTGGGAGGAGGGGCAGAAACAGAGACCCCGCGGATGGTCCGTGGGGAGTGGCGGGTCTGAGGACTAGACCACCGCCCCCCAGCTCTGTCGCCGAAGAAATCAGGCCCCCCCCACCTCGACTCCGACCGGGTCCGCGCCCCTCGCCGGGCTGGGGCAGGGCAGCAGAGCCCCGCGGCAGGAGGAAAGCTCGACCTCTCGGCTGGCCCCACTCCCCGCCCCGGCCCCGGAGCCTACCGAATAGAGGGGTGCGGGGGCGGCGATAGTGGAGGTAGAGGTGGAAGCGACGGCGGCGAAGCATTCGGATGACCGAGCCGCTGCCATGATCCCGCTGCCGCCCTCCGGGGGCGCCGGAGCTTCCCAGCTAAGCAGGAAGGGTGGCGCTGACAGCTGCTGACCCGCGCTGAGCGGCCCGACCTCGCCTGGGGCGGCGGCACCCGTGGCAGGCGCTCTTAGAGGCCCCGGGCGCCGCCATCTTGGCCCGGACGGAAGCCGCGCGGAGCCAAAGCGCGAGCCCAGGCTCGGCCCCGGAAACGCGGAAGTCGGCGGGGTCTCATTATTAATTGCCGCAGACCCAAAGGTTTGGGTCGCAACTCGGAAAGGTTCTTCGGCGCCCTTTCCCTTTTTCTCCCCTCGCCGCAGACCCAGTAATGGCCAAGGAGAAGAAGCCGAGACCGGATGACTCTTGCAGTCCTGAGAGTCTTCTGGATACACTGCTGCACAACCTGTACGACTTCGGTCAGTACGAGGAGCTGGGCCAGCACCCACGTGGGGGAAGAAGCGGCTGCTTTGGGGGGCGGCGGGGTGTCTTGCATGTGTATTTTCTTGGGGAATAAGGGACCAGCTAGTTTCATCCAGGGGCAGCTCCTCCACCCTTCGTGTAGACCTGAGCCCGGGCAGGAGTGATTTAGAGGGCGCCCAGTGATCCTGCCCTACCTCTCAGAGCGTCTGTTTATCCCCGGGCGAGGCCAAGAGCGTACTTTCGCACGAACTAGCCTAGAGACGGGAGGCCGGCTCCCACTCCAGCTCCGTTGGGTAATAGTGGGTTTTACTTACACACACACACACACACACACACACACCCACCACCACCCCCCGAAAAGGCCCCTTCCATTTCTGTTGACCCATTGACTTGGTACAGACCTGTTCTCTGTGCGATTCCTGCAGTCTCTTGGGCACTTTGGGCACCAGGGTATTTGGGGATACAATTACCAAGTTCACAGTCTTCTCCATACCTTTCTGTGCCGCTTCAAAAAAATAAAGGAAAAAAAAAGATACCTCTCAAAACCTGCTTGGCCCAGGTTACCCAGCTTTCTCTCGTTTTTACTGTCTGTAGCCCTGCCTAATTCATCTACCTTGCCCTGGAAGAAGAGTAGCTCTTGGCTGCGTTGGGGGAGCGATGGGCATGTTATTAATGGTTGAGATGTAATATCCTACCTGGCACTTCCACTGAAGATAGCACCACACCCCTTTAGCCAATGGTGGTAGGAGGGGTGGGGGAAAATCGAGGGAGGGAAAAAAACCCTTTTGTGCATATCACAGACAATAATTATTATTAGGAGGCTTTGTATGTATGTAAATGCAAGCACATTTTCGAAATTAGTTAAAATGTTGGAAATGCTGTTTTCTTTTTAGTTGTCTGTTTTGATACTGGGTAGACTGGACTTCTAGGTTATTTTAATATAAAAGTGGTGAATAGTATTTATTGAGTACCTTTTATGGGGAAAGCACCCTGTCCTGGGGAATTGAGGGGAAGGAGGGAGAGGGCAGTTACAAACGAAGCAGAAGGCTGGAGATTAAAGGCTTTTAAGAAGATTAAAGTCTAATGGAGAAAATTATGTGTTATAATATTAGATGTACATATAATACCATACAATACAAAATATGCTGACATATGGGGTGGGAACTAAGTGAGCTCGCATTTGGAGAGTCAGGCAGTAGGTGTGCTGAATGATCAGGGAACTGGGTGTTTTAAATGCACAGGTGCTAGGTAAATCTAGAGGCCAACAAAGCTGGAGAAGCTTCTAATTATGAGGTGGGATAGAGGCAGGCCCTTGGGTGACTGACAGATTTGCTCAGGTTAAACCAAGAACATGATTGTAATTTAGGGAAAATAGGGCATTAAAGTGATTACTGGTGCCTCAGGTTTAGTTTAATTGTTAAGTTTTTGCATGTGGAAGATCAGGAGTGAGAAGATTGTATACCTTCTATCTCATAATGCAAGAAAAGCTTTTTGAGCAGAAAGAACCATTTTCTGATGCCACTATCAGCTTTAGTCCACCAAGCAAGCAGAAAAGTGAAGCAATGGTGTCTCAGAATGGTATTTTTATTTCTGGGTCATAGCTGAAAATAGAGGAGTGATAGGCCCAGAGGGGTGAAGGATACTTAACAAAGGCTAATAGAAATATATTTCCTTAGAGTTTTAAACAGCAGACCAAAAAGACTTTGCAGTGAAAAGGGAGAGTTAGAAAGGTGTCTTTGTGATAAAATGTACAATGAAGTCTCAGAAGTACAAAAAGCCAGAAATTTACAGAAAACAAAATTCAGGAAAATGTCAGAAATAAAGCATATTGCCTCAGGTGTTCATATACAAATGCACAAAGTGTGGACAGTAAGCAAGATTTTTTTAAAAGAGAAGTACAGAAGATGAAAGTAAGTACAGGTAACAGAATGAATGCTAGAGTGTGATATGGTCCTCTAAGAATGTCAGAACTTTTTTGGCTTATCCTAACATGGTGGTAAAAGCTCAGGAGTGACCTCTCCACCATGTCCACCATGACCATTTCAGGATCAAGAGGTTTCTTGCAAAGAAGCAGAAGCAAAATTGTTCCATTCCTTAACGAAATAGCAAGAAAACAGGCAATAAGATCAGGTACAACTTCAAGAAGAAATACTGGGGAAGGAACCAAACTAGTTTATAAAAATTATCAGCATGAGGACATACTTAATCTGCACCAACTCCAAACACCCTACTATTACCCCTGATAAGAAAATGACACTACCCTACAATTTTGGAAGCTGTCTGCTAAGATGCAGCCATCAAAATAAAGCAATGAACTTATTTTGGAAGACTATTCTCACCCTTTTGTTTTCACATGTTGAATTGATTGGTTCAGTAATAAATATGTACGTGGGGCAGCTAGGTGGCACAGTGAATAGCGTACTTGGCCTGGAGTCAACTCATTTTCCTTAGTTCAAATCTGGACTCAGACACTTAATTAGCTGTGTGACCCTGGGCAAGTCACTTAACTGTTTGCCTCAGTTTTCCATATCTGCAGAATGAGCTAGAGAAGGAAATGGCAAATCACTCCAGTGTCCTTGCCAAGAAAACCCCAAATGGGGTCACAGAGAGACATGACTGAAAAATGACCGAACAACAAATGTGTGTAAAATTTAAACTGTCCTCTGCATCACTGTTTTTGTATATTGTATATGTATAATTATATATTTGCCTATAAGGAACAGAGTCCATAATAAATAATAAAGACCTCAAATTTTGTTTCAAACAATGTGTATGACCCTGAGCAAGAGACTTGACCTCTCTGCATCTGTTTCCTCCTATATAAAATGGAGATAATGACAGCACCTTTTTTATAGAGTTGTTGTGGGGAATTAAATGAAATAATCGCTAATGCAGGTTAATTTATAAGCCTTCAGTGCTATATAAACTTGACTTGTCTCGGCCAGATTATGTGTGGCCTCTTCTGTGTTAATCAAAGCTAGTGATAATATATATTAAAGAAAGGCAAAGCTGTTCAACTCTTACATTTCTTCTTCTGTTTTCTTTGCTAAGGAGAATGATCTTGGGACTGGAAAAAGCAGAAAATGGCTAATAGGGAGTTTAATAGGCGAAGTAGGGGAAAAGAAAGAGAACCTACCGGCCTTAGATGATGAGTTCATGCTACCAGGCCCAAATGAACTGAATCTTCATTATAATATTCCTGTTAGAAATGATTGTTGAGTCAGTGTTCTTTGAAAGATCCTAGAGAATGGAAGAGGTACCAGAGGTCTGGAGAAGGGCAAATGTCCTGATCTCTAACCAGGGGAAGAAAATCACTGCTAAAAACTGTAAGCCACTGAGCTTGACTTATAGAACATATTTTTTCTTTTTCTTTTTTCATTTGTTTTAGACTTGTGATTTCAAGGTATGGAGAGCTCCTATGAGGGAACTTCCTCTCCCGAGGCAGAGAAGCAATTCTTCTCCAACTTATAGTCTTAGAGAATTGCTTGGGTCATAAAAAGGTTATGCAAATATTGAAAGATTACACAGCCCAAATAGAAGGTATTATTAAAGGGGTAGTTGATTAATATCTAGAAGAGAAAGCAGTGATCACAGAAGGGTATTCTAGACCAGACCTAACTCAGGTAAGACTAGCAACTCAGGCTTAGGAATAGAATGCTATAAGGTACTCATGGATCAAAAAGAGCAATAAGAGTATCTTTACCGAGAATATTTTTTTAAAAACATAATTCCTAATCAAAACAAAATATTACTGTCCTCCACCTCAGTATTTACCATAGCAAGTGGTAACAATCTCAGGAAGCCATACCTTGCAGGACAACATAAATTGTGTTAAAAGCTCTAGAACATTTTGGTTGGTAAAAGATGCATTGAACATTTCTGCATTTATACCTTTGTAAGGTTTTTAGGCCTTAATATATGGTCCTTTTTTTTTTTATGAAAGTGTTATACACTGCTGAGGAATAGGTATACACCTTTCTGTTCCCATTCACTACTCTCCAGAGGTCTAGTAAATCTAACTTTTCTAAAATTCTACTCTGGTCCTTCATTTCTTTTCTTTTTTTAAAATTAAGACTTATCTAGGTCTGAGAGGGGTAAATTGAGGCCCCTCACTTTTATGGTTTTACTGTTTATTTCTCCCTAGAATTCATTTTTAACTTTTCCTTTAAGAATTCAGATACTATGACATTCGTTACTTTTATATGTAGTGCTGATATGAATTTTTTTTTATTTTTTATTTTTTTTTATGAGGCAGTTGGGGTTAAATGACTTGCCCAGAATCACACATCTAGTGAGTGTTATGTGCCTGAGGCCGGATTTTGAACTCGGGTCTGGAGGACCCGTATACCATACACTGCACCACCTAGCTGCCCTATGACTTTATTTTCTATGGTACTTTTTAACAAACTATAGTTTAATGTTTTTCTCTTTTAATTAGGTCTATTTTTGCTATCACTTTGTCTGAAATCATGATGACTACCTCTGCCTTTTTACTTCAGCTGAAGCATAATAGATTTTGCTCCAGCTCCTTATTTTAACTTTGTATTTTTCTGTTTCAAATGTGTTCATTATAAGGAACATATTGTTGGATCCTGGTGTCCAATCCATTCTTCTGTCCTCTTCCATTTTTGGAGGTAAGTTCATCCCATTCACATTCACAATTATGATTTCTAATTGTGTGTTTTCCTCTATCCTATTCTCTTAAACTTTTCCTTCTCTTTTTCCCCTGCCCCCTCTTTAAAAGTTTGTTTGATTTACTCCCATATTATTCTTTCCCCTTTTCCCCTAGGCCCTTTCCTTCCTGTTTCTTTGTTGGGTAAGATGTATTTCTGGACCTAACTCTGTATTTTTCCCATCTTTGACCAGTTCAGGTTAAAGTGAGGTTTGTGTGTCACTCACTTTCTCCTACTGCCCATATAGACTTCTACTTGTATACCCCATTTATGTGAGATAATTTTCCCCATTCTTCCCCTTCCTTCCCCTTTACTATATCCTCTTCCTCTCTCTTCTTCTTAAAATCATGAAGATATAAAACTATTCCCAGGCCTTATCTTACCTACTTAGACTGCCTTTATGACCCCTGATTATGAAAGAGTTCCAAGGGGTTACATGTATCATCTCTCGATATAAGAATATAAACAGTTTAACTTTGTTTAGTTTTTTGTGATTGCTCGCTTTTGTTTACTTTTTGTACTTCTCTTGACTCCTGTGTTTGTATGTCAGATTTTCTATTCAGCTCTGGTCTTTTCATTTAGAATGCTTGGCAACTCCCTATTTCATTAGAGGTCCATTTTCCCTTTGTAGGATTATAATCAGTTTTGTTGAGTAAGTTTTTCTTGATTGTAAGCTAGATCTTTTGCCTTCTCGAATATCATCTATGCAAGTTCGTCTTTCCTTTAGAGTGGTGGCTGTTAAATCTTCTGCGATTCTGACTATAGTTTCTTGGTATTTCAATTATTTCTGGCTATTTGCAGTATTTTTTTCTTAACCTGATAGTTCTGGGTTTTGGCTTTAATATTCCTGGGAATTTACATTTTGGTGTTTCTTTCAGGAGGTGACCAATGGTTTCTTTCAATTTCTACTTTGTATTCTGGCTCTAAGAGAATGGGGCAATTGTCTTTTTGTAATTTCCTGGAATATAATGTATAGGTTCTTTTTTAGGTCATGACTTTCAGGTAGTCCATTGATTTCTTAAATTATCTCTATTCAGTCTGTTTTCCAGGTCAGTTATTTTTCCTATGAGGTACTTCACATTTTTTGTCATTTGATTTTATTTTAATTTCTTGATGCCTCTTAAAGTCATTAGCTTTTATTTGGTCAGATCTAATTTTCAGGGAGTTATTTTCTTCAATATGGTTTTGTTCCTTTTTCCAAGCTGTTAATTCTTTTCATTTCTTTATTCTACAGATTTCAGTTCTTTTCCAATTTTTTTTCCTTTACCACTCTCATTAATTTTTAAAATTATTTTAGGTCCTTTTAAATTTAAGTCTTGTAGGAATTCTTGTTGAACCTGTGTCCTGTTTAGAGATGTTTTCAAGTCATTTTTTTTGTTTGGGGTTTGTGTTTTGAACTTTCTTGTCACCAAAATAAGTCATTATGGATTTTTTTGTTAGTTCTTCTGCTTCTTGACTTTAGACTTTCTGTTACTTCTGGACCCTGTACACTATGGGGAAGAATGTCTTGCTTAAGCTTCTGTCCTCTTTTTTTCTGTCCTTTTGCTGCTTTCACAGAACCAGTACTAAAACCCCCAAACCAAAGCCATACCCCAAACCCAATAACATAAATTTAGGAACCAATGAGGGTTTATTGAGTTTACCAGCAGAGGAGCCCCACCCCCATGAGTGGAAACTCCCTGAATGAACGAAAGGACAACGCTTATATAAGTTTCAGTTCAGGAAGGAGGTGAATTGGGTATGGGGTTGGACAAGGCTGTTGCTGGGTGCTTTCAGGGTAGGAATAGGGGATGTGGTATCCTATGACTAGACAGGTCTGTTGCTCAGGCTAGTAACAGGAAAGACTCTTCAGATTAGCTATCTCTTGTAACCCTGTTCTAACAGATAGGACTGTCCTTGCTGTTTCCACAATAAGGAAGGTCCCAGATGGGCGATTAGGAGGGTGGGGGAGAAAGGTTAAAGAACAAGTAGGGTCAGGGGCATTAGAGGAACTTCTGACAAAGTGGAGTTGCACTCCCTCTCTCTGCTACCCACAGTAACTGTACACACACACACACACACACACACACAATATGGCACTTACTGTGTGGCAGGCAGTGTGCTGTTATTGTCCCTATTTTATAGATGAGGAAACTGAGGCAGACAGATTAAGTGACTTGCCCAAGTTCACACATCTAGTAAGTGTTTGAGGCCAGATTTGAACTCAGGTCTTCCTGATTCCAATCCCAGTGCCCTTTCCACTGTGCCACCTAGCTGTCTGGGTGCCTTTATGTATATTACTTCACATTTTGTTTGATGATGGTGACATCACATTAAAACTCAATGTGTTTATATTTTTCTTTTGTCCTTGAAAGCACAGGAGAGACCCTAGATAAAAAGACATTGAAAAGAAGCAAAAACAAAAAGAACAAGAGAGATTCAGTAACTGCAGAAGTCACAACAGCGGACACAGCTTTGCAGCCAGAGTCTCTTTCCAGAGGGCAAAAGAAAAGTGCTTCTAACTTCTTCAGAAAGCTTAAGGAAGAGCTTCTTTGTGACTCTCTAGAGAGTTCCACTGGTCCCACTCAGACAGAAGTCTCTACCACAATTTCCCCTGTACCATTGCTAACAAAGGGAAAAAGAGAACCAGTGGAAGTGGTTGAATTTCACAGCTGGAATAAAAAGAAGAAAACTGAACTAGAACCACCCAAGGATGAGGATACGAAGGTAATAAATATCTGTTTGTATCTACTTAATACAGTTCCCTGAATCCTCTTGTACTTGGTACAGGCTTTCTACCTTAATAGTAGTAAACACTAATTTTTTTCCTAAAAGTTTTATTTTTATAGGAGAATATGCCACACACAGGAAAGGTGGCAACTATGTAGAATATAAGCTTCTTGAGGGCAGGGATGGTTATCCCCAGAGCCTACCATAGTACTTGCTGATTCGTTGACTCTAGACTCTGAAGGTGTGATTTGTAAATCTAGCTCCTTTGTCACTCTTTGTGCAAGTTACTTAATGTTTGTTGACTGCTCACCTTTCTCATTTTCAGAAAGGCACTGACCAGAAACCCCACCTTGTCAAGTCAATAAGTATTTATTGAGTGTTTGGTATGTGTCAAGAACTTGCCTAGCTCTAGAAATAAAAATATAAACAGAAAGAAAGTTTCCTGCTCTCAAGAAGCTTACATTTTAATAAGGGAAGACAGCACATAAAAGGAAGCTGAACAGGCTGGGAGAAAGGAGGGTAGAGTCCCAAATCTGGGGCTGCCTGGTAGAGAAAGTCCAAAGAGTCAAGAGTGGATCCTGCAGTGGAATGAAGACTTGGCTGGCTTTTGTTTAAAAAAAAAAAGAAGAGAGAGAGATAAGGGACAGAAGAGATTATTTTCTTTTTCTTTTTTTAAATTAATTTATCATGATTTATCAACAATCGCTTCCATAAGCTTTTGAGTTTTAAATTTTTCTCTCCCTCCCTCCCCACCTCCCTCCCCAAGACAGCTTTCAATCTGATATAGGCTATACATATACATTCCTATTAAACATATTTTCACATTAGTGATATTGTAAGGAAGAATTAGAACCAAAAGGGGGAATCACCAGAAAGAGGAAACAAAACACAACAGAAGAAAAAAAAAAGCAAATAGTATGCTTCTGTCTGCATTCAAACTCCATAGTTCTTTCTTTGGTTGTGGATAGCATTTTCCATCATGAAGCCTTTGGAGATGTCTTAGATCCTTGCTTTGCTGAGAAGAGCTAAGTCTATCAAAGTTATTCCTGGCAAAATGTGGCTGTTACTGTGTACAAAGTCCTCTTGGTTCTGCTCACTTCACTCAGCATAAGACCATACAAGTCTTTCCAGGTTTTTTGAAGTCAGCCTGTTCATCATTTCTTATAGCACAGTAATATTCCATTACATTCACATACCACAACTTGTTCAGTCATTCCACAATTGATGGAATCCCCTCAATTTCCAATTCTTTGCCACCACAGAAAGAGCTGCTATAAATATTTTTGTACATGTGGGTCCTTTTCCCATTTGTATGATCTCTTTGGGGTACAGACCTAGAAGTGCTATTGCTGGATCAAAGGGCATGCAAGTTTTTATAGCCCTTTGGTCATAGTTCCAAATTGCTCTCCAGAATAGTTGGATCAGTTCGCAACTCCGCTAACAATGCATTAGTGTTCCAATTTTCCCGGATCTTCTCCAGTATTTTCCTGTTTTGTCATGTTGGCTAATCTGATAGGTGTGATATGGTACCTTGGAGTTCTTTTTATTTTTTGCATTTCTCTAATCAATGCTGATTTAGAACATTTTTTCACATGACTATGGATGGCTTTAATTTCTTCATCTGAGAACTGTCTATTCATATCCTTTGACGATTTATCAATTGGGGAACGACTTGTATTCTTATAAACTTGACTTAATTCTCTATATATTTTAGAAATGAGGCCATTATCAGAGAGATTGGTTGTAAAAATTCTTTCCCAATTTTCTACTTTCCTTCTAATCTTGGTTGCATTGGCTTTGTTTGTGCAAAAACTTTTCAATGTAATATAATCAAAGTTATCCATTTTGCATTTTGTAATGTTCTCTATCTCCTGTTTGGTCATGAATTCTTCTGTTTTCCATAAATCTGATAGGTAAACTATTCCTTGCTCTCCCAGTTTGTTTACAGTATCAGCCTTTATATCTAAATCATGAACCCATTTTGACTTTATTTTGGTATATGGTGTGAGATTTTGATCTATGCCATACTCTTCCGGTTTTCCCAGCAGTTTTTGTCAAAGAGTGAGTTTTTTATCCCAGAAGCTGGGGTCTTCGGGTTTATCAAATAATAGATTACTGTAGTCATTGACTGCTGTGTCTTGCATACTTGACCTGTTCCACTGATCCACCACTCTATTTCTTAGCCAGTACCAAGCAGTTTTGATGATTGCTGCTTTATAATACAATTTAAGATCTAGAATGGGCTAGGCCACAGAAAAGATGATTTTCTGCCTCAGGGTATTGAATTGAATTGGGAAGGTCATCGTTCAAAGCAAATCATTGCAATGAAAATAAGGACTTTTTAATTGGAATCATGTAGTTATAGAATACAGGAGCATTTTCAGATTTTGTCAGCTTTTCCTCTACCGATTTTGCTTTTGTGTTTTAGAGAGTGCTATTTTCTCTATGCTGAGGTTTACTTCAGATTATGGAGGTGGAGCCAGCAGTAACTTCCAAGAATGAACTCTAAAACGTTGGCTTTTGCTCAAGAACAACTCACAATTATACAGTCTTTTGCTCAAAAACAACTCACAATTATACAGTCTTAAAGGCTAAGATGGCCTTGTGCGTAGGTAGTACAAATGTCATTGTGACGTTTTTATAGATGAAGAAATTAATTACTTAAGCAACTTGCCCAGGGGCACATAGTTGGTCATTCTTAGAGCAGGACTTAAAGTTCAGTTCTCTGTCCAAAGTAACATGCAATTTTTCCACAACCCCAAATGAATAGCTCAGACTTGAACTTGATTAAAACAGCTGAGACGTTCTCTTATTCTTTCCTCAGCTATCTTACATTTCAGTTGTTGTTCAGGCATGTCTGACTCTTTGTGATCTCATGTATCATAGCGTGCCAGTACTGTCCAAGGGGTTTTCTTGACAAGGATATTGGAGTGGTTTGCCATTTCCTTCTCCATAGGTATTCAGAGGTTAAATGACTTGCCCAGGGTCACAAAGCCAGTAAGTGTCTGAGGTCAGATTTGAATTCAAGTCTTCCTGCCTCCAGGCCCAGCACTTTGTCCACTGAGCCATCTAGATGGCTCTTACGTTTCGATTACCTGTTGACTATATTTTCTCCAGCTTTTACAGCTTGTAGACCATTCTCTTCAATAAAGCAGATGGCAGCAAAATAACCATTTTGGTAACTGTTTTCTTCCTGTCACCTGCACTAAGACATTTTGGAAAGAGTATTATTAGACTTGGTAGCAAAAGACTCAAATTAAAATTCTGACACTTTGCTAGCTCCAAGTATAAAATAGCCATGTAAATGTGACCTTCAGTCATCTGCATTACATTTGTCCTAAGTAAAGCAGTGGGCCAGTTTCTTATTTGTTCCTTTTGTCCCAAACATAGCTTAAAAACCTCTTTTTAAAAAAAATATTTATGGTTGCTTTTTCGCAGACTTCAAGTTCACCTCCATTCTTACTCTTGTCTTTGGTGACTTGAATTTACATGTTGATGTTCTCTCCAACACATTTAAATTTCTGGTTCGTCAGTCTCCTCAAATCCCACAATCTGTGCCTTCGCTGTGTTCTAGCCATACATGGGAATTTTCCTATCCTTGATCTTATCATCTCATCACTTGTGGATTTCTTCTCTGTGTACTCTTTCTCCCATCCATAATTCCAGAATTCCTCATCTGACCATAACCTCAACCTCCCATCTCTCCCTCAGTCTCGCCTCTCTTAAACCTATTCTTTGACCTTTCTGTAACCTCCAGTCAATCCACTTCATCCTACTTTTCCAAGCCATCACCTCTGTGGTAATCTCATTTTCATACCCCTCAAACTCTTGACTTTATAGTTTTATCCATCCACGTTTACACTTATTCTCTTCCCATAAGTCCTTTGCCTCCTTTTCCTTTTGCTGCTGCTCATCCCTTTCTAGATTTTAGCTATAGATCATGCCCATCATTTGCATACTCCCCTCATCTACTAATGCTGTTAAATGCCTTTGGAGAAAATCATACAGTTGTGCCATCTTGATTTACTACGTATTTAGGTTATGTAATCTCAACTGGGTTTTCACAGCCTTGGCTAGTACTTTTTACTTTCCCCAATCTGACCATCACCTGTGGAATCAAGACCCCAAACTTCTTATTTTGTGGTACTTCTAGAGAGTTTGACATCACTGAAGAGGATTGTGGGTAAAATAAGTGATATTAACATGAAGAAAATGTGGGGAAATATCTTCCTATGGAAAAAGGATGTTGCCCTTAGGTAGAGCTATGGGAAGTCCGGGCTCAGTTTTTATAATGTTTCAATCAGAATTCAGTCACTGTCCATCTAGCCAAGCCTTTATTAGTCTCCTAACATTGTACTTCCCTCTCACAGTATCGCACAAACCCCCTTTGTCCTCATAAACTCCACCTCCCCCAGTTTATTCTTTCTCTTCTCAACTGAGTTGTAAATTGATCAGGCACACTTCACTTGGTTGGAAGGAACACGGCTCTGACATGTGCTTGCAAGTCTATGTTCAAGTTCTCCCCTTCTATACACAATAAATATGTCTTGGCTAATCCAGAAAAATTCAAAGTCCTGAGTTAATTCTCAACATCATGCTCCATTTTCTTCTCCTTTACTCCAGCCTTGGAGAAAGAGGTGGCCTTTCTCCTCACCAGTGTCAACCCCTTAGTTTGTCTCCTTGATCTTATCCCCTTTCCTCTGGAAGCTTGCCTCTATGGTCCTTAATTTTGTCCCTGTTATCTTTCTTAATCTAATTTTCGATGTCTTATTTCTTCCCTGATGCCTGTAAGTATGCTTACTCTTCCTCATCATTAAAAAAAACATTTAGTTCACTGCTTCTGATGCTGTCATCCTATATCTCTTCTCTCTTTCACAGCCAAATCCTCTTTGCTTCTACTTTCTTAACCTCTGGCAATCTGGCTTCTGTCCTTATCACTGTCCCCACTGGCTCTCTCCAAGATCATCACTGATATCTTTAGCTAAAATCCAGTGAATTTTTCTTAATAAAAACCTTTTTGATTCCTCTAGCAGTGGTTGATACTGTCAACTACTCTGTCCTTCTTGGATTCTCACAGCACTTATCTCTCTGGGTTTTCCTACTACCTGTCTAACCACTCACTCTTCAGTCTCCTCTGCAGGATCATTATCCTGCCCCTTGTCATGGAGGAATCCCAGAGCCCTGTCCTGAGTCCTCTCCTTTGTACAAATTCTGCCTTGGTGATCTCATTAACTCTCATGGGTTCAACTGGTGTCTCTCTATACAGCCCTCACCACTCTTTAAGTTCCAAACAGTCAGTCCCCCATCTCCATCTGGGCCTTTTTGGTAGCTTGCATGACCTATGAGTATCTTGAATCCAACATACCCAAAGCCAAACTTAGTATTTTTCTTCCAAGGCCACTCATTCCCTTGACCTTCCTTTTTCTATTGTGGCACTACCTTCCAGTCACTCAGATTTACAGCCTACCAGTCATCCTCAACTCTTGTCTAACCTCCCTCCCCTAAATATGTAGTCAATTTCAAACCTATTATTACCACTTCCACAATGTCTACTATAATGGTCTCTTAGTTGGTCTCCTGGCCTTTCCCATCTCTAGTCCATCCTTCAGACAGCTTCCAAGCTGATATTTGTAAACTGTGAGTCTGACCTTGTCACTCTTCTACTCAGGGATCTCCAGTGGCTTCCTGTGGCCTTAGTATAAAACCTAAACTCCTCTGCTTGGCATTTAAAGCTCTTCACAGTCTGGTTCTCGTGTGTCTTTCCAGGCAGATTTGACATTTCTTCTCTTCACATATCTTTACATGTTGTTTCCCATCTAGTTGTCAGGGATTGTCTCATTTTTGTTTCTGGCACATAGTAGGCATTTCATAAATACTTGCTTGTTTATTTCTGAACTTTGGCCTGTTCACATACTAGGTGCTTGTTAAATATTTATTGAATTGAAGTGAATTAGTCTACCTGACACTATAACAAGAATTTTCCATTCAATTTATCTCTATCTTTGGTTATGCTTATCTCTTTCCTTTCTTGTGTGTGTCCTTATAAATCTGAGCTTATTCACATTTAGAGAAATGGATACTAGATAGCTTAAAAAGACACTTACAAAGCAACATGAACAAACAAACTAATATGCTAATTCTTAGGTTAGAGACTATTTTAAGATTAGAAGAAAAGAGTGATCAGCAATTTGGGGTTGATGCAGATGTATAATACCATTTTAGTTGCTTATGTTACATATTAAAAATAGACCTTGTTTACTGCCTTCTAGGAGTCCCATAATCTAATTGAGACAGGATAGGCTAACATGTAATCAACAGAAATATATAAATACGGTCAGTGTCTAACTTAAAAACACCCACTTTCCTAGTCTGAGACATCTAGCCAAGGATTTCTGGCCATAATGCCTGCTACTCAGGCAGTAGCCAATTGATAAACAGGCTTTTGATCTCATTTTCTTCTAAGAGCTTATGTATACGTGTGTGTGTACACACATAGACACCCCGGTACGTTCCAAACTCTCTTCACAAGGACTGCATAATAATGACTGAGAGGTCCATCTGTAGTAACCTAAGTGTGGCACACTGGCCCTGGTTTCTATTGTAATCCCAGGTATAATATTCAAAGGATATTCTCCAGTAAGAGTGCTGGCTCCAGACTCTGTCACCAAGGATAAGTTACTTCATCCCATTGTGTCTCAGTTTCCTCATCTTTAAAATGAGTAGACCAAAGGTGAGACTTGAAAACAAGTCCTCCTAGCTTCAAGGCTGGCTCCCTATCCATGACACCATGCTGCCTCCCGATAAAAAGCCCTTTTATGGATTACCTCAGACCCATACCGTACTAGCTTTAGGATAATTGTACACACTTCTTTAAGTTACTAAAGTATAAGAGCATTCTAGCTAAGTCATCTCTTGTACACTACTGAAATCCCATTAATTTTTCAAACTTCAGGTATGAACTCTGAATTACTCCCCATCAGTTCACTTCTGTAATTGTAGTGAAGACTGTCCCCAGCTAAAAATGGATTGATTCCAAAAGCTTGTTATGTTTGTTAAGTTATGTAACTTAAGTTATTTGTTTTGGCATATCAATAGACTTCTCCCTTGTTACAAAAAGCCTGGCTAGACAGAACAGACATAGTCATTAACTATGTCTTTCAACTAATAGTACCATAGATCTAGAACTGGAAGGGGAATTAGAGGTCATCTCATCCAATCCCCTCATTTCCTAAATGAATAAACTGAATCCCAGAGAGGTTAAGCTGCTTGTTTGAGGAGGGGCAGGCACGTTTCCCTGGCACCCTTCTGAGGTCAGGCTTTGGCCTCTGCATTGATCAGAGTGCTGTGTGGACTTGCAGTGTTGCATTTGGAATGCATTTTCCCCTGGGGATAATATTCTCTTCTATTGGTTTGGTTTGGTTGGATTTTTTAAACCAGCTTTTTTCAGTGGATTTTTTACTCAATTTTGTTTTTTGATTTTCAGGATTTCTGTTTTGATGTTTAGTTGTTGGCTTTTAATTTGTCAGTTTTCCAGTGGTTTTTAGTTGTACGCCTGTGTCGTTGATCTGTGCTCTCTCAGTGTCTCTGTGTCTCTCTTTTTCTGCCTCCCAGTCCCCTTGTCTCTCAGTGAGAGTGTTTAGAGATACAAATGTTCCCATAAGAAACTGTTTTGGCCGCGTGCTAAAAATTTTGGTGTGTTGTCTCATTGTTATCATTATCTTTGATGAAATTATTGATTGATTTTATGATTTTTCTTTGATTGCTTTTATGATTATGACTGACCCACCTATTCTTTAGAATTAAGTTAGACTCCAATTAATTTTCATTCTTTGCCTCAAAGGCTCTTTTATCGAATGTAATTCTATTGCATTATGGTCCATAAAAGATGCATTTAATATTTCTACTTTTCTGCATTTGTTTGTGAGGGTTTTATGCATAAACTCATGATCAGTTTTTGTGAAGGTACCATACACAACTAGCAGCAGAAGCAGTCCTTTCTTTTCTTGTTCAATAATCTTGAGAGGCCTAGCCCAGCTATTTTAAATGGTAGTTACATTTCCAGGGCAGCACACAAAAAAGCCTGTTTAACCCATAATGTGTGTAGCTGAATAGTACTTATAGTACTAGCCTCAATTATAGATCTCATGAACAGGAAGCCATGCAAGGCAGAAGAGACTTTATAGTCATACTTTTGTATTGTTAACAAGCATCCAGTTAAAACAAACAAACATGTTCTTGAAAGACAAGAAGTTCATAAAAGCTTAAATAGGGAGCAGACAAGAGAGTTGCATGTTATCAGTCAACCAGCAGATGTTCACTGAGTGCCTACCATGTGAAGTATAAAACATGGTCCCTGACTTTAATGAGTTTATAATTTAGTGATTAAGGGAGGGTGCCCAGCTGTGTTCCTTTGGACTTTTCCATCATACTCTCAGGAACCTCATCATCCTGCAGCAGCACAACAGCCTTGGTACCTGCCCCTCACCAGAAACCTCTGCCTCTGCAGTTGGGAGCAGAAGGGCAGAGCTCCTCCCAGAACCTCCATGAAGGAGAGCACTCGTGCCAGCCATCTTGCCTCTTCCTTACCTGTCTGGCTGCCCTCCTCTGAATTTCTCGTCCTGCCTTCACTGCAGGTACCTTTTCAGCTTCCCTTTGGGTGTCATCTTCCTCCATTAGATTGTAAGCTTCTGAAGGCAGGGACTGCCTATCTTTTTTGTATTCCTGTCTCCAGCACTTAGCACAGGGCTGGCACATAGTAGACAGCTAATCGATGTTTATTGACTGACAAAATTAACACATGTGTGTGCACACACATGTCGGGGGCTTCCTGTATTTGTAACTAACCAAAGAGTTTGCACAAAACTTATAATCATCTGCAAGGGGAACTTCAAGGTCTTCTTGTCCAACTCCCTTACCGGAAGGAGGAATACTGTGTCTAGGTCAAATAGGAATTACTCAATGATGTTCCAGTGCAATATTGGGCAACCTTAGATTGATGGGCAGGGCCTTTCCATGAGCCATTTAGCCATTAGGTTTCTCTGTTATCATAGTCCTCCCTACTATGGAGGCAGTAGAGAACTTGCATCACCACCAACCAAATTGGAAATACTTTGGGCCATTAAGCAACTTTCAACTGGTAGTGCAGTTGATCAGTGAGTACTGGTCTGTAATCTTTTGAATTAATTAGTACCATCTGTTAAATAGTACTATTAGCACTATGTTATAATATGTGGGAGTTTAGAGATCTCTAATCCATCTACCTTTATTAATATAAGAGATTAGGCGTGTGATAAAATGATTAGGAATGGCTTTCAACCATATTAAACGTATTAGTCATATAGATCAGTAACTCAGGTGTCCCAGTTCCCCAGTTCCTGTTGCTTTGTGCTGGTCACAGCCATGGATTTAGATAAGAAGGGATAGGGAACAGTAGAGGTCATCATTTTGCTTAGGGGAAAGCTACAAGGGAAGGGCCAGAAATAGAGTCAGGGTTTTATGTGCTGTGTTTATGCACTTGGCTGATCAATCAAGTCGCTGTAAAGGAAGTCTTAGGAAAGATTACCTGTCCCAAGCATTTTTAAAAAGTATTTGCTTATTCTGTTAAGGGAGAGGTGACAAAACGTTACAGGTGCAGGAGAATTGTGAAATTCATGTAATGTAGCTTAACAGCACTAAATCGAGCACGTTCCCCCCCCAAGTTGCATGTTAAATTTATGTGTTTAAAAAGAACAATAATTTGTATCAAATAGGGTTTATTTTTGTATTCTTATTGCTTAGCCTAATGCCTGATACATAGTAATCATTTAATAAGTGTTTATGCATTATCTAGTACAGTGTATGATAGTTATCCAGTGTGTAAGTTCCATTTCAGCAAGGACTTTGTATTTTCTCTGACACCCAGTACAGTCTTCGTGCAATAAGCTCTTAGTAAATGTTTGTCAGTTTCCATCCTCTTCTCAAAGATTGATCCTACTTCCACTGCTTCCTTAATTATTTTTTAAATAATTTGTCAAAAATAGCAGATTGAATGTAAATCTTCATGACATTAGCCTGACTAGCATGTAATAGGTAGACATCCAAGTTACTGTTTTTGAAGGCACCTGTGAAATGCAGATGATAAATAGCAATGGTTCAAAAATACATATTGGTACACAGTGTATATTCAAAGTACACTAATATTTCGGTTACTTGGGAAGCTAGGCTTTCACTTATCAAAGGCTAGATATTAAGCATACTTTTGTTGACCAGTCCATTTTCCCAAGTTTATTGCATAGGTTTTCTTTTTAAAACAATCCCTGCCCTCAGAGTGCTTACATTCTAGTAGGGGAAACCGGAGAGTAGATATATATATAGTAGAACATATATAAAGTAAGTAAAAAGTAATTTGGGGGAGAAAGGTGGTAGCAGCAACTGGTAGAATCAGGAAAGGTCTCATGGACAAGATAGCATGTGAGCTGAGCTTGGAGGGAAGCTAGGAATTCTTAGAGGAGGGACACCACTCCAGCCTTGTGCAAAAGCATACAGGTGGGAAGTGGTATGTCGTGAGAGGGGAAAGAAGGCCAGTTTGGACTGCAGAGGGCGTGGCAGAGGTCATAATTTGTAATAAGGCTTCAAAAGTAGGTTGGAACAAGAGTATTAAGATCTTTATTTGGGCTTTTTTTTTGCTTTTTAGGCAATTGGGGTTGAGTGACTTGCCTAGGGTCACACAGCTAGTTAAGTGTCAAGTGTTTGGTCTGAGGTCAGATTTGAACTCAGGTCCTCCTGACTTCAGGGCTGGTGCTCTATCCATTGCACCATCTAGCTGCCCTGAGAGTATTAAGATCTTTAAAGACCAAACAGAAGAGTTTCTTTTGGATCATAGAGGCAATAGGGAGCCATTGGGGTTTCTTGGGCAGGGCAGTGATTTATAGTTGGACTTGTCCTTTAGAAATATCACTTTAATATTATTAATTTCAGTATTAGCACAATGTCTTGCCAGTGTTGATGGAATCAATGTACTATTTAAATTCAGCTGGGTGAAATATTAAACAAACTCAGATTGAAATGAAAAAAAAAAAAAGAAAGAAATATCACTTTGGCAACTATGTGGAGAAATGGATAGAAAGGAGAGAATCTAGAGGCAGCAATAGGTAGGTAAGGAGCATTTAGTAAGTGTTTACTATGTGCCAGGTACTATACTAGCACTGAACATGCAAAGCGAAAAGAAAGGCAGTCTCTGCCCTCAAGGTACTTACATTCCAGTTGGAGAAGACAATACCTTAGGGGGAGTGGGAAGGATAGGTATGGGTACCAAGAAAAGGATATGGTGGCAAAGTCATTCAGGTCAGAAGCACAACTGAGAGGAAAACGGAGCATGGCTACTCTGGGCTGTTTCCAAAATGGAGTCCAGGAAAAGAGCTCATGAATGGCAAATAAATGGCAAATGGGAGCTTGACGTAGCAGAATGATATTGGAGGGTGATAAGGCCCTAGCTGATAAGTGCATTTCTGGAGTGAGTCATGGTGATAAAGTTGTTAGTTGTCAAAAGCACAGCCAGGAGGGGGAAGGGAGACCTTTCTTTCTTTCTTTTAAGGCAGTTGGAGTTAAGTGACTTGCCCAAGGTCACACAGCTAGTAAGTGTCAAGTGTTTGGTCTGAGGCCAGATTTGAACTCAGGTCCTCCTGACTTTGGGGCCAGTGCTCTATCCGCTGCACCACCTAGGTGCCCCCGAATGGAGACCTTTCAAAAACAGGTGATTAGGGGCCTGAACTACATAGTCGTACATGAGAGTAGAGAAAAAGGGACAGACATGAGTGGTGGGAGGCAACATGAGATAAGGGATAAAAAGCCAGCCTCAGATTCAAGAAAGCCAGAGTCCAAATCCACCCATCTCTACATATACTGGCTAGTCACTTAACCTCAGTGCCCTAAGCAGCTGTCTAAAATTATACGTTGCTTATCATTTGCCAGCCTGTTAGTGGAGGAGGTTTATTCATGAGGAATTCCCTGCATCAATAAAATCCCAGGTATAGATGCCTTGTCTCCCCCAAATTGTGTGATAAATATACAAGTTGCAGAACAGATTTCTTTGTGAGGTCCAAGGGAGAAGGTTATTTCCTGCCTGGGTAAGGGAAAGTTGACAAGTATGAATGAACAGGTAAACATTCTGGCTGTTTTAAAAATTGTTTTTGTATTTGTTCAAGGGTCATGGACATTACTCCAGTACAGTAATGAATTGTTTAGTAAAAACCTTTTCTTTATCTTCCAGACAAAAATCAGTGCCCTTGAGAAGGACGTGGGTATGCAGGAGTTTAATTTGGAAAAGGTATGTACTTGAAGATACTCCAAAGAGATTTCAGAGGATAGGTGAACATTAATGTTGGGCAAATCCTGAATTTTATTCCTAGGCCTCTCATTGATTTATGAGGTAGCTGCCCTTTACCTTATCCTACCCTTATAAATGAATAAATAGTCCTTGCAGGAATAGGGACATGGGAAGATCTGAGATGGTGGTTTCCTGCATGCTTTCATACTGCTCTTTGAAGTGACTAGAATTCTTTTCTGTGGTTGGAAAGGAAAACATACAGGGAGAATGTTTCTAACATCACTAAAGCCCCTTGACTTAATAAAACACAGCATAAAAGAATTATTCTTAATAGGTTAGTAACATTAATAGTAGGGAATTCTAGTTTTAAGAGTACACACATAGTTAGCTTTCAGTGCAGCCTCTCTAAAATGCACTGTTCCTTGGGATGGCATGCTTTCTTTAGGGCAGTTAGAAAGGGTTTAGTGTTTAATGTTGCTTTGTGTTCCCAGGCCCGTTTGGAAGTGCATCGGTTTGGGATCACTGGTTATGGGAAAAGGAAAGAACGGATTCTGGAACAAGAGAGAGCCATCATGCTGGGTGCTAAGGTCAGGTACTCCTTTCTGCCTTCTGTGCCATTTAGGGGATAATGGGGAAAGATTGGCTTTGAGGGAGACTTAAGGGAAAACACATTAGGAGTTGTCTAAAAATTGCCATTGAGTTAAGGTCAGTAATGTATGTCCCTTTTATTTCATTGCAGCCTCCAAAAAATAATTACGTGAATTACAAGGTTTTGCAAGAGCAGATTAAAGAAAAAAAGGCAGCAAAGGAAGAAGAAAAAAGAATGGTGGGTATGATCTTTTTCCTTTATTGATTTTTATACCTTGAAAAGATCTGGTGTGTTTAAGTCACCACAGCCTGCCAATTTAACTCTGAATGAGAAGTCTTATCAAGTGAACAAGCATTTATTAAGTACTAACTGTGTGCCAGGCACTGTTTTAAATACTGGGGACACAAAGAAAGGCAAAAAATAGTCCCTGTTCCCAAAGAGCTCCCAGTCTAATGAAGGTGACAAAATGCAAATAACTGTATACAAATGATATGTCCAGGATAAACTGGGGGTGATTTTAGAGGGAAGGCACTAAGACAATGATGATGATGATGATGATTTACATTTGTTTAGTGCTTGCAATGTGGCAGGCACCATGCTGAGCACTTTTACAATTATTATCTCATTTGAGCCTCACAGCTACTCTGGGAGATAGGTTCTTTCATCATCATTATCATTATTATTATTATTATTATTATTTTACAAATGAGAAAACTGAGGCAAACAGCATAGGTAAGTCCTGGGTCACACAGCCTTTCTCCAGTAGACAGGAATCTATTTTGCTTCCAGTTCTTTGCTACCATGAAAAGTACTGCTATAAATATTTTGGTATATTTGGAGCCTTTCTATTTGGTAGTGATCTCTTTGGGTTAAATGTTTAGCAGCAGAATATCTGGGCAAAAGAGTGTGGGCATTTTAGTCATTTTATTTAAAATTACAAATTACCAGAATGGTTTGCCTATTCACAGCTTCATCAATGGTGCATTTGTGTGCCTGTCTTTCCACAGTGTTCCCAACATTTACTATCTACTGTCTTTGCCAATTTGCTAGTTGTGAGGTGGAATCAAAGAGTTACCTTAATTTACATTTCTTATTCTTAGTAAGATGGAACGTTATCCTATATGGTTGTTAATCATTTGACCACTTCTCTACATACAGCGGCTTTTTTTTTTTTGAGGCAGTTGGGGTTAAGTGACTTGTCCAGGGTCACACAGCTAGTTGGGGTTAAGTGTCCGAGGCCGGATTTGAATTCAGGTCCTCCTGACTCCAGGGCTGGTGCTCTATCCACAAGGCTTTTGTTCTTACACATTTCCGTTTGAGGCTGATACATCTTGGATATCAAACCCTTATCAGAGATAGTTGATAGAAAGATTTTTTTCCCTAGTCAACTGCTTCTCTTCTTAGCCTAGATGAAACAATTTGGTTAATGTAAAAGCTCTATAATTTCATGTCATCAAAATTATCTATTTTATCTTTTCCAAATACCTCTGTCACTTTATTTGGTTAAGCATTAATCTATACACAGCTGAAAAAAGCATATGATCTACTTCAATTTTTGTTTTTTATAGTATGATCTTTCATATATTTAAGTCATTTATGCATTTTGAATTTATTGTGGAATATGGTATAACATGTTTGTCAAAACCTAATTTCTCCAGTTTTCCTAGCAGTTCTTATCAAATAAACACTTCTTTCCTTTCTAATTCATTTTCCAGTTTTCTGGATTATTGAGTTCAGTTATTTCTTATTCTTCCTTGTCTAGTCTGTTCCACTGCTTTACTTTCATGTGGTTTGTGTGTGTGTGTGTGTGTGTGTGTGTGGCAGTCAGGGTTAAGTGACTTGCCCAAGGTCACACAGCTAGTACGTGTCAAGTGTTTGGTTTGAGGCTGGATTTGAACTCAAGTACTGCTGACTTCAGGGCTGGTGCTCTACCCACTGTGCCATCTAGCTGCCCCCCATAATTTTTTTCAGCCAATAGATAGAGCATTGATTGTTTTATTATGTGCCAGGTACCATGCTGAGAGTGGCAGATACAGGCAAGTGAGACTGCCCTCAGAGCTTACGTTCTAAAAGCTTATGTTCTAAAAAGCTTACATTGTTTAAGAAAGCAACACATAAGGGGCAGCTAGGTGGCACAGTGGATAAAGCATCGGTCCTGGATTCAGGAGGACCTGAGTTCAAATCTGGCCTCAGACACATAACACTTATAAGCTGTGTGACCCTGGGCAAGTCACTTAACCCTGTTGCCTAGCCAAAAAAAAAACAAACCAAGAAAACAATACATAAAGAGCAGATAGAAAGAAGAGTGAGGGGGGCCTGTGACCCCAGTGGCATGGTTTGGAGCCGGTAATTGGAAAGCATAGTGGAGGCTTGATTTCTGGGCAACATAAGATAAGAACCCAGGATAGTTCATTGGGTAGAGTACAGGTTCCACTGAGGAGCAGATTAAGGTGAAAGCCTGAGTGTAAGTGGCATAATTTGGAGCTGGTGACTGAAATATAGTGGAGGCTCAGTTCCCATCAAGATAGGGGAAAAGTTCAAAATTCTGGGTGGTTCTCAGAGTTGGAGTTCTACTTTAGGGGGAGGAGGAGGTGGGAAAGAAGGTCAGAGGGAAGTTGGCATGATTTGGAGCTGGTTGCTAGGAAATACAAGAGGTTTTGATTATGTCTACTTCATAATAAGAATTTGAGATCTGGAAGTACTATTTCCCTTTTAATTCCTACCTTTTCCTTATTTCCCTTGATACTAGGACTTCTGTTGAATTTTATAAAGTAACTCTACACTGTAGGTTCTTAATATGTATTTGTTGAATTGAATGACCCATTAGAAATAAACTGTGGATGTCTTTGTGAGAATCAGTAGTTTGTAGGGACATTGGAAAATGATGCCAACTACTTTAACATTTTTTTGAAATTCTGAAATTAGGCCCAGGTCACAGACACTCTCAGAAAAAAAGAAAAGAAAAAGTTCAGAGGATAAATCGGTGAGTGATAACCTTTGTTTCAAAAAGTCAATGGTTAAATCCCTATTTATGAGTCATAACAGAATCTTGCCACTAATATATTATTTTTTACCTCCCTGATTATAATTCTACCTCATCTGGTTTTGTGTTCATGATAACCTTATTTTTTTAAAAAATTTTATTATTTTGATTTATCAGCAATCACTTCCATATGCTTTTGAGTTGAAAATTTTTCTCCCCCTTCCTCCCCCCCACCCTCCCCAAGATGGCACACAATCTGATATAGGCTTTACATTTACATTCCTATTAAACATATTTTCACATTAGTGAAGTTGTAAGTAAAAATTAAAACCAATAGGAGGAACCATCAGAAAAATAAAACAAAACTCAACAGGAGGTAAAAATAAGTGATAGTGATTCAACTTCCATAGTTCTTTCTTTGGATGTGGACAGCATTTTCCATCCCGAGGCCTCTGGAGATGTCTTAGATCCTTGTAATGCTGAGAAGGATTCAGTTTAACAATATTAGTCATCGCATAACGTGGCTGTTATTGTGTACAATGTTCTCTTCGTTCTGCTCATTTCACTCAGCATCAGACCATATAAGTCTTTCCAGGTTTTTCTGAAGTCAGCCTGTTCATCATTTCTTATAGCACAATAGTATTCCATTACATTCATGTACCACAGCTTGCTCAGCCATTCCCCAATTGATGGGCATCCTCTCAATTTCCAATTCTTTGCCACCACAAAAAGAGCTGCTGTGAATATTTTTGTACATGTGGGTCCTTTTCCCATTTGTTTGATCTCTTTGGGATATAGCCCTAGAAGTGCTGTTGCTGGAACAAAGGGTATGCGTATTTTTGTAGCCCTTTGGGCATAGTTCCAAATTGTTCTCCAAAATGGTTGGATCATTTCACAACTCCACCAACAATGTATTAGTGTTCCAATTTTCCCACATCTTCTCCAACATTTATCATTTTCCTGTTTTGTCATATTGGCCAATCTGATAGGTGTGATGTGGTACCTCAGAGTTGTTTTGATTTGCATTTCTCTAATCAATAGTGATTTAGAGCATTTTTTCATATGACTATAGATGGCTTTAAGTTCTTCGTCTGAGAACTGTCTGTTCATATCCTTTGACCATTTCATGATAACCTTATTGGAAGTATAGGTAAGCTAGTTATGTTATGCCCAGTTTATATGTAAAAATGCAGAGTTAGAGAAATAACTTCCCCCAGACAACATATTTATTCCATTTCCACCAAGCTGTACCTCTTCTTAGATTCCCTGATTCACAGATCTTTTTGTCAGACAACTTAGTAACTGTAGACAGACTCATGAACCTTTGAAATTAGCCCTTGGGCATACATAGCAGTCTAAGATAGACATAGACCCAGATTGACATTTCCAAACTCAGGACTAATTTCAGAGGAAAAAATAAGGTAAATTATTAGCAAATTTTGTTACTATGTGCAACAACACAAGACTGGAACTTCTAGAATCCTTTCCTCCCCATCCTTTGCCTAAATCCCAAACAATTCACTGGTTTGTTAAGATTGTCTTGTTGATGAGGTCTTGTCTAAGACCATGTTAACCTGCCATGGTTGTGTTTATCCTCTTCAGTTTTATGTTTCCCAGACTGTTTCAACTTGACTTAAAAGGATACCGTGACCATTTCTTTCTTTGTTTTTGAAATGGAATAAGCATTTATTAAGCATCTACTGTAAGCACCTCCTATGTGCCAGTCACTATGCTAAGCTCTTTACAATTATTATCTCATTTGATTCTCACAACAATCCTGGGAGGTAGGTGCTATTATCATCCCTGTTTTCAAATGAGGAAGCTGAGGCAAACAAGGATTAAATGACTTGCCAGAGTCACACAGTTAGTAAGTGTCAGATTTGAACTGGGGTGTTCCTGACTTCAAGTTCCAGTGATCTGTCCACAGTATCACCTACCTGGTTGTGCCATATCTGTGTGGTCCTGGACAAGTCACCGAACCTCTCGGTGTCTGTTTCGTCATTTGCAAAATGAAAGGTGACTGTTTCTTTAAAGAAAAATATGTTTTATTGATGCCCTTTTTCTTTATATCACAGTTATCTCAATTCCACCCCCCACCCCTTCCAGTAAACTCCCTTGTAAGAAAGAAAACCAATTGGGAAAAAACATCTGATACAGTGACCACATCTGACAATATATACAGTACTGTGTCTTTATGGTCTGTTATTGCTCTACCATTAAAGGGGAAATATGTTTCAGTATCTTTTCTTTGGGACTATCATTGGGTTTTTTGAGCACACAAACCTTTCCATTTTCTTTGACACAATACCATGCAATATAGAACATCAGTAATTTTCAGTAATTTCATTGTGTTATGTTCTTTTGCTCTGATTTTCATCATCTCAGTAACCTTTTATTCAAAATAGTCTTTTCTCATTTTTGTACATGTTAAGATAAAATTTTGGCTCCCCCTGAGTTAGGACCTTTGATAGGTGCTTTGTGTTTTACCTTCTTCACTCTTCATTATATCCTCTTTTTTCTTTTTTTAAACCTAGGAAATTCCAAAAGAAGAAATTGGCTCCCAATATTTTGTCAACAGGATCAGCAGGACAAATTGGAAAATTCAAAAACGGGACCTTGATTCTAAGTGGTGTGGATATTAAGAAAATAAATTCCTCGAAAGTGACTAAATGAAGCATTTGCTGAATCAGCTCAAAAGACAAGAGAAGCTGAGATAAGCCCCGTTATCTTAAAAGAGTACATGAATTCATTCAGAAATTTCCTCCTTTTCACATTTTGCGTGGGTTTTGTTTTGTTTTTTGCAACTTTTTTTTTACAATTATTTTTATTGGTATCTCTTGTTTTTACGTCATCTCCATTATATCCTTCCTTCCTCCCAAAGAGTCATGCCTTCTGACAAAAGGAAACAAAAAAGAGGAAAAGAAAGAATTCATTTAAACTAAGGAACAAACCGGAAGTCCAGTGTTGTGTTCTGTGCTTCTACAATCAACATCTTCCAATTCTGTCTGCAAAGAAAGAAGGAAAGTGCCTTCTTCCACCTCTTCTCTGAAGCCAAACTCAGTCATTATCATTTCCAAGGATTCCATTTCTATTGTTTTATTGTTGTTCTTTCCATTTCCAATGAATGTTGTTTTCCTGATTCTGTTTTACTCAGCATCAATTCATATAAATCTTACCATGCATCTCTGCCTTCATCATTTCTTTCAGACTTGTACCATAGTTTCTTTAGCCATTAGCTCACCACTACAAAAAGTGCTACTGAAAAAAACATAAGACATCAAGTGTGTATGTGACATTTTTATCATTGACTTGGGGATTGGAGGAAATGGGGGGTGGTATATGCCTAGCTATGTGATCTCTGCATTTTCTGAGACTTTTTTACCCTTTAAGGAAAGAAAAATCATCTAATCATTCATGTCACATTTCAGAGGAGTGAGACGGTGATGGTCAAAGTCCAAAAATGGCCAGTCGTGCATGTTAGTTTCTTAAGTGTTTTATAGAAAGGGTAAGTTGAATGTTAGAGCTTAGAAGGACCTTAGTGATTATCTAATTCAGTCTGCTTATTTTATAGATGAGAATACGGAGGCTCAAGAGGAAAAGAGACTTGCTCGAGGTTACATAGGCAGGAAGGGACAATGTTAGAATTCAAACCTAGGTCATCTTACTCCAAATCTAATTCTCTTTCCCTGCTATACCATCATTTTCTGTCTCTTGTAGGTTATAAAGTATAAATTGGCCTTAAGAAAGCTCTCAAAAGCTTTTATGTAGTTAGCATGACATTTTAATTTTTTAAATTTTGAATTCATACATCTAAAAAACAATGAGCATTCCCACGTATATAGTAGTAATAATAGCTAACAGGGTCTATGCTAATCACTTTACAAATACTTTCTCATTTGATCCTCATAGTCACCCTGAGAGGTAGGTGTTATTATTATCACCATTTTACATATGGAGAGGTTAAGTGACATGTTCAGGATCATACAGCTAGTATGCATCTGAGGCCAGAATTGAACTTAAGTCTCCCTGACTCCAAGCTTTGTGCCACCAGCTGTATATATACAGGGCAGAGGATTGTGTATGAAACCATGAAGCTCCATTTCAAACCTCTTGTTCTTTAAAAAGGCAATCAACTACATTACTTTCAAAAGTTCTCTGCTTATGTGTGTTCTTTCTGAATGTCCTTTTGTTCTTATTTACATTTTTTTTTTTTAATGTTGAGTTAGTGGAACTTCTTGCCCTGCTTGGTTATCTTACAGGGCTAGGGCTGGTGATCTGGTTGCTAGACTCTGCCTGCTTACCTGTGCAGCATATGTCAGTACAGTGATCTGTGACTAAAGGCTATAAGAGTAGATTTCTGTCCGGTACAGCTTGTCCTTGAATCATGTATGTCTGAGTTGTTCCCAGTTTCAGTAGGGCATTGGATGACCTGACAGATAGGTTGACCTTACTTTGAGCACTGCTACTGGTCAAGTAGATTGGTTATCTCTCAGTCCCTCGACTGGTTCATACAACAAGGAGATCCTATATATTGTATACAATATCATCTATGTATATTTTTGTTATATACCAGGGTGTGTGTGTCTGTGTACAGTACCATTCTGTACCCATGTAGCGGTTCCCTGATTTTCGGAACCTCTCACCTCTGAGTTACATGGGAACATACCTGTCACTAGAACATTCTCCAACTGGGAAACTGAAAGGAATCCTTCAGAACTAATGATTTTGGCTAGACTAAGCTGGAGAATGATTGTTGGTGGCAGCCTTTTACGTAGTTGGCATAATGGGTCAGGTAAATTGCCAAAAAACAGCCCAATAATAATTAGGCATCATAGTGTAAACAGACCATAAAGGCTCACATAATTACATAAGATAAAATAGTCAAGGCATATAATAATTCACATCCTCAAAACAGTATCAATTTGTGTAATTTGCATGAATTTCCAAAGATGTAGTCTCGCAAAATCCCACCCCCGTACTGGTACACCATGTTACTGCCCTTGTGTCCAGC